GGCCTGGCACATCAGTCCCACAGAAGTATAAGGCTCTAGTAGATACCGGTGCACAGTGTACCCTGATGCCATCAAGCTTTCAGGGGTGGAACCCATCTATATTTCTGGAGTGACAGGAGGATCCCAAGAGTTGACTGTGCTGGAGGCTGAAATCAGCCTGACTGGGAGGGAATGGCAAAAGCACCCTATTGTGACTGGTCCAGAGGCTCCATGCATCCTCGGCATAGACTACCTCAAGAGAGGGTACTTCAAAGACCCAAAAGGGTACCGATGGGCTTTTGGCATTGCTGCTTTGGAGACTGAGGAAATTGAGCAGCTGTCTACCTTGTCTGGTCTCTCAGAGGATCCTTCTGTTGTGGGGTTGCTGAAGGTCGAAGAACAAGAAGTAACAATCATCACCACAACAGTGCCAATGCATTTGTCTCAATCCCTTTGGCAGCAGAGTGCAGGCCACAATTTGCTTTTACTTGGAGAGGCATCCAGTACACTTGGAATCAACTGCCCCAGGGGTGGAAACACAGCCCTTCCATCTGCCATGGACTAATCCAGACTGCACTGGAACAGGGACAAGCTCCAGAATACCTGCAATACATTGATGAAGATGGGGAAGTTCGGTGTGTACTTCAAGGGGATTTAATTTTGGGGGAAAACAGCCAGTGAACTCAATTATATGCTGTTGACTGCTATATAACACAGCAGCAGTGGGAGTCTCACAGAACTGTCCTCAGGCCACCATCTGACTTGGTGGCCTGAGGCCACCACCCTGACTTCCCTCCAAATATCACCCCAACAAAGAATGAACTTTGATGAAACCAGACGAGTTTGGTGGTGTCATCAGCAGACAACAATCCAGCACTAGACACCATCTCTCCTGCTCTGAAAGACTGTTACAAGAGATGGAGCCTAACATCATGAACTGAACGAATTCAGCAGCTTTATAGGGATGGTCCATGGACTAAGGAATGATATCTCTCGCTTTGTGTGTGTATATATATATATATATAAAAATATATATCAAGAGACCAAAAGTGATGGTATACTGAAAAATGTGGGATCTGAGCATGACAGGAATGGTACAGAATAAGGGGTCGATACTGTCCTGGGTTCAGCTATAAGTTATTTTTCTCCTTCCTAGTACCTAGTGCAGTTTTCAACTTTAGTCTGAGAACAATGCTGATAACACCAATGCTTTTAGTTGCTGCTAAGTAATGTTTACCCTGATCAAGGACTTTTCAGTCTCTCATGCTCTGCCAATGAGGAGGGGCACAGGAAGCCGGGAAGAAGCAGAGACAGGACACCTGAACCAAACTAGCCAAAGAGGTATTCCATACCACAGCACGTCATACCCAGTATAGAAAATGGGCGGAGTCACCCGGAAGGCCCAGATTGCTGCTTGGGTCAGGCTGGGTGTCCATTGGCAGTGGTTGTATTGGGCATCACTCGGGTTTATTGGTTTGTTTTTTGTCCCTTCCCTCTTTAGTTTTATTTTCTCTCCCCTTGTTACTTCCCTTATCATTAGTAGTAGTCTTATACTTTAGTGGCTGGACTGTGCTTATCTCAACCCGTGGGGTTTACATTCTTTCAATTCTCCTCCCCACCCCTCCAGGGGGCAGGGGGTGGAAAAAAGGGGGGAGTGAGCAAGTGGCTGCATGCTTCTATGTTACCAGCTGGGCTTAAACCATGACAGGGGCAGTGAGTGATGATAGAGACCAAGTGGAGGCAGCATGAAGAAGCCTGAAAGTCTCTTGAAATAAATGTCAGAAGTGAAGTGCAACACAAGTACAGAGTAGAAACGCATTTTAATCACAAGAGGCTTTGGCCACAACTGCTCTTTGGTTTGAAAAGGAAACAACAGCAGTTAGCAGAGCCCTTGGTGGTGGGTCCCTTGCCAGCCCCTGCCTCCCCACCCAGCACCACACTCCTGACACTCATGTGCCTCCTGCCATTTCCATCACCTCACAGGTCAAAACAGGACCTAAAGGTACAGCAGCAGAGCTCAACCTGCTCCAGCAGCCCACCTCTAAACAAGACAGCTGCTTCCAACTAGAAAACCCCCCTATAAAAACACCTCTGAGGCTCTTGGTGGCCACTCAGCAGCCTGCTCCACATGGGTCCTCTACCCACTAGCACTAAGGTCTGGCAGCAGAAGCCAACATGGGCTGGATTTGGGCAGCTTCATTGCAGCAAACAAGAAGCGACCAAGTCACCACAGCCAGTCCTACTTAATGATGCTCTAATATTGCACCAAGATGTTTTTGAACCTGGAGGCACCAATTCACAGGCACTGGTTGATGACCTGAACTTGTCCCCACCAAGTTCCCCATAGCATCCCCTCTCTCCCAGGCATGGGGCCCTGACCACGCAGACCAGATGATGCTCTACCTGCCCAGGGTGCTGCTTGGCTGCTTCCACATCCTAAGCACAGCTGGAGCTCTTTGCTGGGGCAACAATGGCTTTCCCAGCTGTGCAGCTTGAGGGAAACAAAAGCTCCCCACCAGTCCCTGTGCCCAGAGGGTACCAAGGGGATGGGATCCAACAGCTTCATGGCCAGCACATGGTGCAGAGCTGTGACTGGAGCACACTGCCCCAAGCACCCAAGGCTGTCCAGCCACTCAGGCCTCTGGAGAAGGAAGAGAGAAGGGCACAGCCACCCAGGGGCCATGCCAACAATTCCTCCAACCCCCTCCTCTAGCCAGCAGCTGCCCCAGAAAGAAATAGAGCCACAAAAGCCCCTGGAGGCTCCAGCAGCCTCCATTCCACATCCTGCTCCTACTAAAGATGAGCTTCCCTGCAAGCTCTCAGCTCTGGGCACTGATCCTGGCTGCTGCTGAACCCCTGGCTCTCTGGGACCAGTGGCAGCTATGTGGAGCTCAGGCAGGAGCAGAGCGAGGGCTCAGGTGGGTGCCACACTCCCCAGCTGGCAGTAAAGCATACACTGAACTTGATACATATTAAAAAGCAAAAACCAGCTACTTAAAACCAAAGAGCTCTTTAAAAATCCAAGTTATCACTTTTGTTTGTTTAAAAGATCCAGTATGACATCAAGTTAAACTATACAGTATTTTTAATTAATATTAACAAACTGCTTAAAAAAAAAGCAAAACAAAATAAAAAAGGAAATAAAACCAAGCAAAACTCAGTAGGACGTTCTACATATTTGAGCCAGCATGAAGATAACCATCGGTCCCTCTTCCTTGGGCAGCAGAGAGCTAGGTCTGCTTTAACCTACTTAAAGCTGCAGATGAAGAGGACTGAGCCCCAGGGTCAGACCTGTCACTGAACTGTCTCTGTCCCCCCTCACCATTCTCAAAACAAAAACCCTACTCCACCTTTTAGCAAAGCAGACACTGCCCAGCCCTCTACAAGGTTCATCTGCCTATACTTGCTGTGTACAACATTTATTAACCTTGTCCTTATCACCTGTGCAGCACATGGGCAACTTACTGGCTGCTGCTCACTAATTGCAGCTTATCACATCACTCTTACCTCACACAAGGGCCAGCCAACAGCACAGAAGAGCTGAGGCAGGCAGGGACCTCTGGGAATCATCTTGTCCAACCTGCTCGCACAAGGTCAGCTACAGCAGGTTGTCCAGGACCACATCCAGCAAGGGCCTGAGTATCTCCACAGATGGATGTTTAACATCTTAATATCTCCAAAGACAGAGAGGGAAAGGCTGCTGGGCAACCTAGTGAGCACACCTTCAACCTCCAAGGCATCTAACTGGCATGTAACAGGTCTCTGTCATGAGAAGCCAGCAAATTCCTACAGAGGAAAACACCTGAGGCTACACTGACCTTGCTAGGGGAAATTTATTTGTAAGTGATGTTTACAAGAACTGTGCAAAACCTGAAAAATACAGAAGAGGTAAAGAAAGAGTAAAGGGGTAAAACAGGACTCCCGCAAGAGGGGGAAAAAATGCACTCCTCCTTTACTCACTGCTGACCTTCCCCTCCCTGCGGATCCAGCCTGTAGGCCAGGATGGATGCTCCTGGCTCGCTCTGGTTCTCCCCAGCAAATCAGCCACCAAGCCCCTGGCACGTGGCAGTGTGGGTTCCTGTTGGCAAGGGTAACACCTCTCAGTTGCAGGTTATTAGTAGTGTTATCACCCTTCAGTGTTCAAACTGCTGGGAGGGCCCTTTGCCTGATGCCTCTGGAGTGATGCTAATGGCCCAAGCAGTGCAAAGGGGCCCAGGGGCTGGGGGGGAAGTATTGGCAGGAGAGCTGGGTCATTCAGGAAGCAGGCTCTCGGTCAAGAGCAGTGCATGGAGACCCTCCTTGCCACATTCTCTGGTAGCAGCACAGTGCTTGCTACTATTCCCTGTGCTGCTGGCAAGGATGAGCAGGCTCACTCAGGACCAGGGTGTAACAGCCAGCAACTGCAAAAGCAGCAATGCCAAAGTGCTTTTCGGAGCTGTGCCGCCCCCATGGCTTTTCCCTTTCTGTTTCTACACTCTAGAAAGAGGGAGAGCAGGTGAGTTCAGGGCAGTGAAAACACTAATGAACTGAAGTGGTCCTTGCAGCTGAGCTTGGACCAAGAAAGGTGGGAGATCCCAGCAGCATAATCCTGCTACTTCCTTGCTGAGAAATGCAGCCCAGGAGAAGGGAGGGCTGTCTCTCTCTGCTTTGCTCCCAAGCCCTCTGAGAAGGAGTCACCCAGTCCTCTGCCCCAACCCCATCAGGCAGGGCAGGGAATAAAGGCCGCATGCGAAAGGCTGGTGCCCACAGCTGAGCTTCCAGCACTGGAACTGCAGGTACAGCATGAACTACAGTCCAGGGGACACCAGCAACTACAGGCATCGTTTCCTCTCCCCGCCTCTCCCTCCTTTCCTCTCCACCCCTTCGAGCTTTTCACATCATCCATTGTCCCTGCAATACAAGTGGTATAGCAACCACAGAAGCCAGAAGAAAGTTTACCTGCCTGCGTGCCCTCCATATCCCCCAAACTCTGTCTACAACTGAGGAGAGGGAAGGGAAGGCTCCAGAACATCACATGCAAGCTGCCAAGGGGCAGAAGGTTCATGACAAGCAGGCAGCCGCCTGGTAGGCACCCTCAGCTGTGTGCTGGATGCTGTGCTCCTGCAGCACGCCCAAGTCCAGGAACCGCTCCCCACACCACATGCACTTGTACTGCTGCTCCCGAGCATGCACGCTGTGGTGCTTGTTGAGATGCTCACGCTGCTTGAAGGCCTTCTCGCAGGAGGGGCACTTGTAGGGCTTCTCACCGGTGTGCACGCGCTGGTGGCGCTGTAGGTCCGAGGCGTACCTGAACCGCTTGTCACAGTCAGGGCACTGGAGGGGCTTCTCACGGGCCGGATCACAGTGGTGCTGCACGAACTCTGACGAGGAGAAGAAACGTCTCTCACAGAGTGCACACTTGAGGGGCTTCTCGGAGCAGTGGGCCTGCTGGTGTTTCTGCAGCGCCGAGGCCCGCTTGTAGGACTTGTTACATATGCCGCACTTGAAGGGACGCTCTGCGTTCTGCATGCACTTGTGCCGCAGCAGCTCCAAGGACTGGCTGAAGCCCTTCTGGCACATGTTGCACTTGAAGAGGTTTTCTATACCATGCATGTGCTGGTGGTACACCAAGTGCGAGGGCTGCACAAAGCCCTTCTCACACAGGTTGCACTTGAAGGGCTCCTCAGCCTTGTGTGTGCGGCGGTGGCGCATCAGTGTGTACTGCTGCTTGAAGCTCATCTGGCACAGGTCACACTTGAAGGGCCGCTCCTCACTGTGTGTGCGCTCATGCTGCCGCAGATCAGACGGACGCCTGAAAGCCTTCTGGCACTCACCGCAGCGGAAGGGCCGCTCCCCGCTGGGCGTGCAGGGGTGCTGCAACAGCTCCGATGACTCCTTGAAGTGCAGCTCGCAGATGTTGCACTTGAAAAGGTGCTCCCCAGAGTGTGCATACATGTGGCGCACCAGATGAGAGCGGTGCTTGAAGGTTTTCTCGCACACCGTGCACTTGTAGGGCCGCTCTGAGCTGTGCGTTCGCTTGTGGTGCACCAGGTGGGACGACTGGCTGAAGCTCTTGTTGCACAACGTGCACTTGTAGGGTTTCTCGCCCGTGTGGATGCGCTCATGCCGAGACAGCTCCGAGAGGTGCTTGAAAGTTTTCTGACAGATGGAGCAGCTGTAGGGTTTCTCTGAGGCATCGAGAGGCTGTGAATGCTCTGCCTCAGGGGGCTTGTAGGTTTTCTCACAGATAGAGCACTTCATGGCATTGCTGTTGTGGACATTGTGGTGCTGCGCCAGTGAGGTCAGGAGGGAGAAGCCCATTTTGCAGACACCGCACACAAAGGGCTTCTGCTCCACCTGGATGCACTGGTGTTCAAGAAGGTCAGTGGCCTGGTGGAAGATCTTCAGGCACTGAGTACACTGGAAAGAACGGTCATGGCCTGGCAAGCACTGGTGTTCATGGGGGTTGGAGAGGTGAGCAAGGTCGTGGCCACACACTCCACATTTGTGGGATAGCTCGCCAGCCTGGAGGGAGGTGTGCTGCTGGTGCTGCAGACCAGGGTCTGGCTGGAGCAGGATGCCGTAGACAGAACAGCCCAAGGGGTTGTCAGCAGTGCTGGATGGGATGGAGTGCTCTGGGAGGGCGGCTGCCCCAGTGTGGTGCTGCTGTGGTGGCTGTGGTGGTTGCTGCTGTTGCTGCTGCCAGCTTTCTGACATGCTTGGGGAAAACCACGGGATTTTAGCAGCAACAGCTTCAGTTTCTTGGTGGAAAGGGTTCAAGTAAAAACAAAAATTGAAAGTATCCAAGATCCTGATTCCCTGTAGCTGATCTGCTGAAGTCAAGGACAGAAAATCCAGACCACAGCCAGGATCCTGAGAAGCAAAGACGTGACTAAGACTCCAGAGCCTCCTCCTTGGATCAGCACAAGTTCTTTGTGGACTAATTTGGTTTGGCTTTTTCTTTTTTCATCAAAAGAACAGGAGGCAGAAGCGAGTGCCTTGAAGACAAGAAGAGGTCCTTCTCCATGCTGGCTGTGATGTGCTCACACTTGGAAAGGGCAAGGGAAGCAGCCCAGGGTACAGCTCTCTCTGCAAGGAAGAGGACAGCTCGTGTCAGGTCTCGGAGGAAAGATGGGCAACTCTCCAGTCAACCTCCCCCCACAGCTCACTTTGAAAACTCTCCTGCGTCCCTGCAAAGCTGCCAGGAGGCAAGTTTGGAGTTGCTGACCAGAACCAGAGCCCCATCCCCCCTCCCTTGCTGCTGGAGGAAGGATGACTGGACCTGGGGAGGGTCAGGTTCTGCCCACACACAGTCAGGCATGTGTTTGAACCATGTGCTCTCACAAGAGGCAGCACAACTGCCCAGGTTCCAGACAGCAAAGCCGCTACAGCTGCTGTCAGTTGATGCATTGCCCAGCCCTGCTGGGGGCATGGGCTGAGAACACCAGTCTCTGCACAAGCTGAGGTACACCAAATGCTGTGCAATGAAGAAGCTACTGGATTAGATTTTACAGACATTGAGGCATATCCCAAACTGATCCCACCTCAGCTGAAACACCCCTGTGAAGCAGTTGTGCTCCTCCTGCAGCTTGGGTATTAGACACATACACAAGAGATGTATGTAAGAGATTTCCTCTCTCTCTCAGCAACACTTACAGACTAGGAAGAACCAGAGTGAAGGCTTGCCTTCACCTTGTGGATAGGATAATATCCTTGTGGATAGGATATTATCCTATCCACAAACAAAACACAGAACCCACAGGTATTATGCACAGAACCTGCTGTGAAGATAAAAGAAGTGTTAAAGAAATAGCTTGGCTAAACCTCCTACCAAACCATGTAACAGAAGTACACTGGAACTGAACAACCTACACCAGAGCTGCTGCCTAGCCTTACTGCAGAATATCATAGCTCACTAAAAAGTTCTAGTCTTCCTAGAGATGTCCAGGAAAACCTGGCATAAACTTTAGAAGAGTAAAACCCACCAGTGAGCAGCAGAGCCAACACACCTCAAGATAGAGAAAGGGTCCAGGCCTTGGTGAGAAACAGCCTGGGCCATAAACCCCTAACCCCCATCAGAGCACAGACAGGAATGGGTCAACCCACCTACCCCCACCCAGGGGAAGTAAAACCTTGGTCTTCCAAGAAGGTGTTTGTTGTGTTCAAAATCAAGTGATAACAAGCACTAGAGAAACCCACTTCCCACCTCCCCCAGCTGTCAGCTGAGGCCAGATCGTTCCCCACAATTTGGGCAGCTTCTGCCTGTGGGGACACTGAATTATTTTGACCACCAGCAAATCTGGGGCAACAAAATGCCAAAGGTCCCATCACAGCCTTGTCAGAAGGCAAGATCTCCTCTTTCTCCTACACAGCTCACCTTCCCTGTGGACACAGAGGGAGGACTGGCAGCGACAATCCCTAGCACCGAGCTCGATGGGATGGATACATAACTTCAACCCGGGTGCCGCCTTTCCCCTCAGGCAGCATTAACTATGGCAGGAGCATGTCAGCACAGCACCCCAAACCCATGGAGGAGGGGGAGAACGCGGAATACCAACCTTGGCTTACCGAGGGCTCTGCACGGGTACCTGAGCAGGCGCCAGCTCCGAGCCTAATTCATTCCTCCGTGGGAGGTGGGAAACGACAACCATTCCAGGAAAGCAGACAAGAACTCAGAGGTACTTTCAAACTGGAACAGCAGCCCGCAGCACGGCCTGCTCCGGCATGGTGAGGCCCTCTCCCGCCTCCCACCGCCGGGCCAAGGCTGAAGCCGCTCAGGGAACGGCGCGGCGGGCCCGGGGGTCGCCGGGGAGCTCGAAGGACAGCGGCCGCCGCCACAGTCCGCGGCCAGGCCCGTCCCGCCGTTCGCCTCTCCCCATGGGACGGCTCCGGCGGCCCCGCTGGCCGGTGCACTGACGGTGCCCTGCGGCCTGCCCGCCGCCGCGCTGTGAGAAATCCCGCGCTGGGCTGGGTGGGGGTATCCCTGCCTGCACCAGCGAGGCCCACACAAAAGGCGGTGACGGCAGCAGTCGGGCCCCCAACCTGCGGCGGGTGGAAGGCCCCTGTCAGCCCGCTCTCCACCCTAGCCTCGTGGCGGCGGGAGCCAGGACAGAGGAAAGGAAAGGATGCACCGGTACCGGAAACGGCAGCGGCTGCAGAGGAAGAGAACGATCGAAGCCGGCCGAACCAGCTGCGGCGGAGGAGGTGGGACGAGCCACGGAGGCTGCCCCCTGCTGAGCTGCGCCGACAACAGCACCCCCGATGGCATCTGACGGGGTGCTCTGGCAGCAGCGACTTGGAAGGGCCCGGCGGGGCCATGAGGGCAGCGCTGGTGGGATACAGCAGCTCGGAGGAGGAGGAAGAGGAGCACCGGGGCGGCGGCGCGCAGGGGCCTCTCCAGGCCAGGCGAGTGCGACGGTACGGGCCCTGGGCGGCGGGAGCCAAGTGAAGGTTTACACCAACCAGAACAAGACCAGGTGAGTGAGCAGTGGGGCAGCCTGCTCCCACACCCGCCCACGGTGTTGACTTTCCCACATTCAATAAGGTGAGGCATCTCCCAATACTTCCCTGCCAGTCTGGATGTGCCAGCTTGTTCCCTGTGAGAGGTCCTTGAAATATTCACCTCAAATCAAGAGGCACAGGAAGGTTAAGCTCTGAAGTGGTCTTCTCTGGGCTGCTCATACTTCACACGCTGAACATGATCTTGTTGAGAATGGGAATAATACAAATCTGTGACTTCTGTATCATGCCCTGTGCAGGAGAGTAAGGATGTTAACTGTCTGGTGGCCTCTTGAGAATCATGTCTCTGGGGCAAAGGGCCAGAGCGGACACCCTGCTATGCATGGAAGCAGGATTATCCTAGGTGTCATGGTTTAAACCCAGTCAGGTAATTCGTTCGCTCACTTCCCCCCCTTTCTTGCCCTCCCCCTGCTCCCGGAGGGACGGAGAGGAGAATCGAAAAGAATGCAACTCCCACGGGTTGAGATAAGAACAGTTTAGTAACTAAGGTATAACACAAATCACTACTGCTACCACCAATGATAATAATGATAAAGGAAATAACAAGGGAATACAACACCTCACCACCAGCCGACCGATAACTCGCCCCCCCCAGCCCGACCAAGCTCCGACCGATACCTCCTCCAACCCTGCAGCCTCTCCCAGCCCTTCCGGCTAACTCCCAGTTCCATCCTGGGCATGACGTGCTGTGGTATGTCTCTTTGGTCAGTTTGGGTCAGGTGTCCTGTCTCTGCTTCCTCCTGGCTTCCCCTCCTCCCTGGCAGAGCATGAAGCTCACAAAGTCCTTGGCCAAACCAAAACATCTCTATCAGCTCTGTTCCCAGGCCGAAAGTCAAAACACTGCACTGCACCAGCTACCAAGGAGGAGAAACATGACTGCTACTGCTGAACCCAGGACACTAGGATAGAACAGGCTTGGGGTGAGCACTGTGGGACTGAGGGCTTGTGTCTCTTTCTTGAGCACTTTCCTGGGGCATCAGTCCAGCCTTTTTGCTTGGTACTAGTTTTGGGGACAGGTTGTGGAATTTGAAGGGCCAGACTCTGATTTCTCTATTTCCAGAGCTGAGCAGGGAGCTCTTGTGTGTTATTTGGAAGTGACCCACCTACCCACTGCAGGACTGGCCATGGGAGGTTCTCTGTGCAGTTGCTGACTGTGGGGAGGCTGGGAACCAGGCAGCCTTGTCCACTGGTGTCCAGAAAGGCTGGGCTGGGAGAGTCCAGGACTCATCTCACCTCTGGCACTGCCCACATCAGCTCTGCAACTGTTGATCTGGCAGAGGGGACTCCCAGCTTCGGGATCCTTCTGCCTGTGTGATGCCAGGCAGGGCAACATCACACCAGATCTCCCACCATGGCTCTGTGCATTGAGCAGATCCTCCTTCACCCCTATGATCCAGTCCCTGTTTTGCTTTCAGGACCCGTCGTTCCACATCAGCTTGGCCTGGTGTGTGGAGGACCTGTCGGACAGACTGGAAAGGTAGTGCTTGTGGGAGCTCCAGGTACAGCCCTGTGCAGCGTGGGGAGCAGGGGAAGAGTAGAGCTGGTGTCCAGCCAAGGGCAGAGGAATTCACTGAGCAAGACAAACTTCACTGGGTTGGAAGAGAAGCTCTTGGAGGCAGTATGAGTTAAATTACCTTCCAGAGGGAAGTTGGAGGCTTCAGGCCACAAATGGCCTCGTCTCTGACTTGGTTCAGGGAGGGAGCTGCTGACTGTCCTGGCAGATCCACCCTCCTAGTACTGACTCCTGCATCTGTTTTTCAGGACACTGTGGAGAAGTTTGAGGACTCAACACCCCTGCTGCGTGTCCAGTGGGAGCAAATCCACTGCAAGTCAGGGAACAAGTACTTCTCCTTCCCCTTGAGGTAAGGGCCAGTGGGGCTGTGTATGTCGGAGCCTTGAAGAGCCTGATGTTCAACCAAGGACTGCTCTGCAGCACAGCTCAGAGCCCTGCAGGTTCTCAAGCAGTTCCTGTGCTCCTCTTGCCTGCTCAGCATCTCTGGGCTGTTTGCGGCCTCCAGTCAGGCTACTTCCAAGTCTGAGTTCCTGGCTAAGAAATGTGTGTTTGTAGCAGGTTTCACCTGCACTGCTGTATGTGCTGTAGAGGCAAAGACATGGAACTGGACTCTCTTGGCTGAGCATCTCCCTACTGTAAGCCAGCTTGGACAAGTTCCTGGGTCATATTCTGTGTCCCTCTCCCACTGCTGCTGCCTTTGTAGAGAAATTTCAGTATCTGATCCTTTTGCCAAACAGCAGAAGATGAAATTTGGAGGGGAGGGGTTGGGAACCCCTTGTGTCTCAATGCTCCAGGCTGGGTCTAAAAGAAGAGCTTTGGTTTAAGATGGTGCATGCCATCAGCCCAGGACTTGTTTTGGTGGGCTGCTTCTTCACTATATAGCAAAGGGGGGTCCTGGGTTGACTGGGGGAGGTCTGGCCCCTGCCAGCTACCTTCTGCCTAAAGCTGCCCCCAAGACCAGAGGATGCCCCCCACTATGATACGGGATAGGGTTGGAGCTCTTCCCTGCTTCCCAACTGTTGCCTGTGTGCTCTGGCTTGCCTGTGCTGCCTGCCAGGGCGTGGATGTTCCATGACTGGAGGATAGCACTGGGAGGGAATGAGTCAGGTCCTGTCCTTCCAGGGTCTGGAGGAGTTGTGTGTCCCTAGGTCCCCCTGTCACACTCACACTCACTCCCTGGTGCAGGCATGGCTGTGGCTCTACAAGTACCTGTCCACCATGTGCTCAGCTGTTGTGCTTTAAACCCAGCCGGCAACCCAGAACTACGCAGCTGCTCTCTCACTCCCCCCCTTTCCTCCCTCCGCTCCCGGAGGGATGGGGAGAAGAATGGAAAGAATTCATTCTTTCTCATTTCAACTCCCACAGGTTGAGATAAGAGCAGTCCAGTAACTAAGGTATAACACAAAACCACTACTGCTACCACCAAGAATAATAATAAGGGAAATAACAAGGGGAAAGAATACAACTGCTCACCACCCACCAACCAATACCCAGCCCGACCCTGGCAGTGATCTAGCCCTTCCAGGTAACTGCCCCCAGTTTATATACTGGGCGTGACGTGCTGTAGTATGGAATACCTCTTTGGTTAGTTTGGGTCAGGTATCCTGTCTCTGCTTCCTCCTGGCTTCTCCTCCTCCCTGGCAGAGCATGAGACTCACAAAGTCCTTGGTCAGAGTAAACATTACTGGGCACCAACTAAAAACATTGCTGTTATCAGCACTGTTCACAGGCTGAAAGTCAACACAGCACTGCACCAGCTACTAAGAAAGAGAAAAATGACTGCTACTGCTGAACCCAGGACATTGGCTCAGACCTCCGTGGCCCTCACCAAGATGCAGAAGTTCTACAGCATTGCTGTCACTAGTGTCCTGGATGAGGAGACCAAGGCATGAGTTTCTTCATGTCCTCCTGCTCTGTCAGCAGGCAGCTCCACTCCTGGGCTCCTTGACTCTTTCCTGGAGCTCTGCCTGCCTCTGTAAATGTGGGTGCTATCTCTCATGGGAACTGCATCTCCCCTTTTGGGGGCTGACCCCTGCAGCCAGGACCCCCCCTTGCCATCTGTGGCTGCCATAGGCTCACCCTGGCTCAATGCCCTCCTGGCAGGTGGGTAAAACGTCCCCACTGCAGGGTCCCAGACCAGTTTGGGGCGCAGGTGAAGTCCAACATGCGGCAGAAGCGGTACACATTGATGGGCCGTTGCTGGAGCCAGTCATTTCACCTTCAGGTACCTAATGTCTCCAGCCTGGGCTCCCCGCTCCCCCAGCCCATAGAATGTCATGGACCCCCTTGGGGAGTGAGCACTGTCCCAGGCCATCCCACAGTAAGCTCTGTACCCCCAGCATCCAAAACTACAGGGAGAAGCTGGGTCAGTACCACTCATACGAGGCCATCCACCGAGCATTCCGCATGTGGGAACAAGCCACGCCGCTGTTTTTCCGGGAGGTGCCCTTCCAGCAAAAGCAGAAGAAGGAGGCCAACATCATGGTGCTCTTCACCTCTGGCTTCCATGGAGACAGCTCCCCCTTTGATGGCATCGGGGGGGGGAGTTTGGCTCACACATACTTTCCTGGCCCTGGCATGGCGGGACACGCATTTTGACTTGGATGAGCCCTGGATGCTGGAGAACATGTCTGGTGAGCTGAGGGCCAAGGAGGTGGTGAAGGCAACCAGAGGAGCCTGGTGGTCCCTGGGTTTGAGAGCAGGGGGATGCCCTGGTGTGGGTAGGAGCGGCAGGAGAACACCTCCCACTGGAGCACCCTCTTTGCAGAGTGTTGGGACCAAGGATGTTGTGTCCTCCACCCCACCTTGCTGATGGTGCCTTTCCCTGCAGGGAGCCAGCTTTTCTAGGTGGCTGTGCATGAGCTGGGACACTCGCTGGTCTTGGAGCACTCCAGCAACCCCAGCGCGATCATAGCCTCCTTCTACCAGTGTATGGATATGGAGAACTTCCGGCTGCCTGAGGATGACCTCAAGGGCATCCAGCAGCTCTACGGTGAGGAGCTGGGTGGGGGTCGGTTCAAGGGTGGGATGCTGGGCATGTGTCTGGAGAAACTGAGGCAGGATGCTGATGGTCTGCATCACC